GGAAAAAAAAAGTCAGCAAATTTCTATTGCTGAGAAAAATTATTGGGAAATCCACATCATATGGACCATATGGCAAGGTGGATTCAAATTCAATTACATGATGCCGTTTAATGGGACCCAGTTAATGTCCCCTTCTAAGTTTCTAATCATTTGGTTACCCAGCAAGCTTGCTTAGTAACCTTTAATTATGGTGACTTGCGCCGTTGACTTTTTTTTTTTTTGTTTGTTTCTTGAGCAGGCACGGGCTGGGCTGGTGCAGAGGATTGCAGCCAGCAGGGGACGTGACGCAAGGCCGGTGTAGGGGTGCGAGGCTGGTGCAGGCGTGCAGGGCAGAGGGGTTTTGAGGCGCAGGGGCGCAAAGAGGAAAGTGCAGGGCTGGTGCAGGGCCTGTGCAGGGGCGCAGGCTGATGCAGGGCCGGTGCAGGGGCTGGTGCAGCGGATTGCAGCAAGCAGGGTCGCGTGCTCGGTGCAGCAAGCAAGGTCAACGGCGCAGAGCAAAGGAGATCTGGGCGCAGGCTCGGTGCAGGCGCAGGGACAAGGCGCAGCAGAGGGTGCAGGCGCGCAGGGCAAGAGATCTTTCCCCTTTTCTGTTTTTCTGTTCTGCAGCTCTCTTCCTTCTTCTTGGCATGTTGCCGGTTTTAGAAGAGAGAGAAGGCTAGGGTTGGCTTTTGAAGAAGATTCCAGCTCGTCCCCTTTTTTTTTTTTTTTTAAGTGGGTTTTGGGTAGTGGGCTTGTTTTTTTGGTTTTGGGTTTGATGGGTTTTGGGTTTGGGTTTGTAAATTTATTTTGATGAACTTCACCCCTCCAACTTTTAATTTCTTCCATTGAGTCCTTTTTCTCGTTTTCTTTACCATCCCCTTCGCGAAATCCCCTTTTTACCCATAAACCTAACAATAGAAGCAAAGATAACAATATAATAGTTAAAATAAAATAAAAATAAAATCCTATTAAAAATTTGAGTTATGACAAACGTACATTCTTCTAATTGCTTCATCTTCATGGGATATGATGACCTTTCTTTGAATTATTTAGTCGTGTTTTTCTTATTCTGATGTTAAGAAATTTTGGGATTGTCATTACTATATATCCTGTGTGATGAGTTCTAGCATATATATACTTCCTAAATTTACATGTCTTTGTAGTTTTTGATTAATTAGTTCTTCAGAATTCAAGTTGAACTTATGGATGGAAAACAACTTCTGTTGTTGGCGGACTGTATCTTTGGGAGGTTGGAAAACCTCCAATCTATTTGTTATTGGTAATTAGTATTTTTCTAATATTTGCTTTTGATGTATTTTATATTTCTCTTTGGTTTGACTCTTAATTAAATTCTTTTTTCATTGTAACCTCGAAAATTTGTCTTTAATATGCCTAGGTTGGTGCATGTCTCATTGATTTTAGTATCTTAATATCATTTCTTGACTTAATTCTTTTCTTGGGCAAGGTTTTGCTTGCTTTATGGAATGTAAGGCTTTCCTTTAAACCTGCTAATTTCTAATGTACATTAAAAAAAATTATTTGATGCTTGAAAAATAAACAATGTTCTAACACTCTTTACTCAAATAATTTGCTCAACAGAGGTAGAAATTTTGCTTTGTTGGCAAACTTTGTCATCAAAGACCTTCTCAGGAAACTTGTATGTATTGTCTTTAGAGCTTACAGTTTGCTACTACACATGGTGTCGTTAGTAGCATCATAAGAATTACTGACTAGATTGTTTAAATTTATTATTATTTTTTATTATTTGGATATATAGGCAACATTTATTTTCAAGGAAATTGGAACTCTTATTAGCTACAACACATGTACTGTTGGGATAGAAAAACTTTTATAATTCTTCAGGTAAGCAAGGTCAATTGCACTTCTATTTTTATTAATTTTTTCATCCACTTCAACCCTTGCCTTTGCAATATATCATTGCCCCTCATGCATATTCTATTTACTCTTGTGGTTTATGACGCACTTGGTATCATGTCAAAGTATAATGAGAATGGTCATGATTGCAATAAAAATTGTATGCTTCTTTTCAATTATTCTAATTAAGGTTATTGTGGCACTTTATATAGTTTTGTAATTAACACTGTGTAGGTTTTTGAGCCTGCATTTAAGAAGGTAAATGTGCGTGCAAAATAATGAAGTCTTTGGATACAGGGGATGAGGGAGCATGCAATGATCATGGATTTATAATATAAGCATGTTATTGTGCTTTGCATGCTTTTATTTCTTGTGCTAAATAATATTTTGTCCGTTTATTAATATATTTATTATTGTACAAAATAAAAAATATATGATTTTTACACCTCTCAACTACCCCGTGGGGTACCAAAGAAGACCTTTTTCTAGAAGATTTAAGGAAAAATTTGAAGACTTAAAACAATTCTTTGGAGGGCATCATCATTAAGAACTTTAAAAAATTATAATAATAAAAAGTTTTAAATTTTGAACAATGATTGATATACATTTCGGTTCAACATATTATACAACATATTTATTAAAAAATTATTATTTTTTAATTTGAAATTAAAAATAAATAAATTTAAACATATAATTATATACACAAAATGTAAAAACTGATTGAATCAATTATATTTATATTATATTTTTAATGATTGAATTGAAAGTATGTCAAAAAAATATATTAAAAAATATGTTAAACTAAGTGTGTACAAATAATTTCCCTTAAATTTTTTGCTTTTTCTGTGATGGTTATGTTGAATAAGATTATTGATGTAAAGAAAGGTTGCGTGAAATTTGTCTAAAAGAAACTTTTTTCAATATTTTTGATGTAGGTTGTCTGTTTTCGTCATATTATGGAAAACATAAATGTATTTTTTTTTTTAATGGCCAAGCAGACTTATTTTTTTCATTTCTTATTATTTGTTTGATTTATTAGATATTATTACTTTTTACTATTTATTTGTCAAATATAATTATATTTCATCTTTTAGAGCAAATAGTATTATTATTAATATAAAAATATATAGATTTAAAATATAAATTTATATTTTATGGTAAAGTAATCCGTGCGAGGGGCACCAGTACTCTCTAGTAGATAAATATACATGAATTAGAATTGTGCCACGAGTACATTTATCCTTTCTTTTTAG